CTGCATTGAGACTCATTATAATTGTCAAAAGTTAGAAAGCATCAAGAGAAAAGCAACTTGTTACTAAAATTACTAGCAGATTCTTCATTAGAAACTGCAGGCTGGAAAAGAGTGGAATACTATATTCAAAACACTGAAAGAGAAAAATAAGCCAACCAAGAATACTCTACCTACAAAAGTATTCTTCAGAATTGAAGGAGTATAAAAAGTTTCCCAGGCAAATGATGCTGAAGGAATGTATAACAAGGCCAGCCTTACAAGAAATGTCAAAGTGCGTTTTTTTAAGATGAAAAGGAAGAATGCTAATTGGTAACAGGAAAATATACATATGAAAACATGAAGCTGCCTGGTAAAGGTAAATGTATAGTTAAATTCAGAATAATCTACTGTTGTAATTGTGATGGGGAAATCACTTATAAAAGTGGGGCAGATAAAACTAAAAAGCATAAAACATTCCATCCAACAGCTGCAGAATATACAGTCTTCTGAGGCACACAGGGAACCGTTGGTAACAAAATGTTGGTAAGGAAACAGAATAGACAAAATACATATTATCAAAAGATAACAAGTGTTGGTGAGGATTTGGAGAAAAGGTAACCTTGTACACTGTTGGTAGGAATGTAACCTGATTCTACTCTAGAAAAGAGTATCAAGGTTCCTCAAAAAGTAAAAATAGAATTACCCTATTACTCAAAAATTCTACTTTTGGGTATATATCCAAAGGAAGTAAAAATGAGATGTCAAAAAGATATCTACATTCCCATGTTCATTGCGGCATATTCACAATATCTAAGACATGAAATCAAATTTAGTGGCCATCAATGAGTGAGTGGATAAGGAAGATACGATATATATATATATATATATATATCCATATCCCCAATGGAATATTATTAAGTCATGAAAAAGAAGGAAATCCTGCCATTTGTGACAACATAGATGGGCCTTGAGGGCAATATATGGAGTGACATAGTCAAGAGAAAGAAAATATTGTATGGTATCACTTATATGTAAAACCTTAAAAACAAACAAACAAACAAAAAATGCTCAAATTATAGAAACAAAAAGTAGAAACGTGGTTGCCAGGATTCAGGGATGAGGCAAATAGAGATTGGTAAGAGAGTACAAACTTTCAGCTGTAAAATGAAAGCAGGCTGAGGATCTAATGCAAAACATCATGACTAGAGTTGATAAGACTGTAGAGTATCATTGAAATTTACTAAAAGAATAGAACTTAACTGTTCTCACACATACACACACACACACACGCACACATACATACACACACACACAGAGATGAATGGGTTAATTACCTAGACGGGGAATCCTTTTACAATGTACACTCTCAATTTCTCACAATTTTGTCAATTTCACCTCAATATAGTTGAATTTTTCAAAAACAAAGTTAATTCACAATTTCTATATTGATAGACATTCCGAGGATTATCCAAATGTCTTTTGCAGGTTATTGTATCATATGGCTAATTCCAGGTTCTTCTAGAATTCACTTTCTTACTACTCTTTTTACTAATATACTTTCTATTCCTTCTTTTTAAAATTACTATTATTATTATTCTCAAACTATTATGACATAAATGTAATGTTGTCTATATTAGAGTTCCAATATGAGCTATTTTTTAAATGGTAGATGGTATCTGAATATAAGTGTTTCAAAATGTGCTTTTTTGATTTTTCTAAAAAGCTTGACAATTATCTTCAAACTTTTTCAGAATATATTTTTCTTTCATTTTTCATCCTTTTAAAATTAATGACTATATTTATTCTGCTTGATCAGACAAATAGGCTTTTGATTTACAAGAGCTGTAATCTAATAGTACACATACACACATATACACTTATTCATATAACTTCTTTTTACCTACATATTTAAAAAAAAACAGTAAGTAACAAGATATAGTTTGGTCTAAGGATTTTAAAATTATTCTGGTCTTTTAAGCTAATATAATTAAGGTATAGAGTGGTTTAGCTACATATCTCATTACTATAAATTTGCTTAGTTCTAGGTTTAACAATGAGATGGCTAAGCATGTACATAATACTTTTCTTCCCTTTATTTCTGTCTCCATTTTATTTTTAAATTCAGAAGATTATTGTCATGAATTCTTTATCCACTAGTAATGTATTTGAATTTATTTTCAGTTGTTCCAAATACCTTTAAAATGTTTATAATTATAAAAATGTCATGATGGAAATAAACTTATAACTATTATAATGTATATTTGAGTTCAGCAGTACTCTGGAACTAATACTGCTAAGAGTTTATGAGGGAAAATATGTACCTATAGTACAATAAAGCTTAATAGCAACCAAAAGTTGACTCTCAGGGTTATGGTCATTAATATTATTTCTAAATTTCTTTCTTCTCCCAAAGTATGTAAAAAGACAAGAACAAATATTAAGATAAAAATCTATAACCACATTATATTTAGATTCCAATATTTGCTTATTATAGATCTGCTTTACATGAGAATGCTAAAGTAAGTAGGTGCTCAATAAAACTTTTTTTTTAATCCTCACCCAAGGGTATTTTTTCCATTGATTCTAGAGAGAATGGAGAGGAGAGGGTGAGACAGAGAGAAACACCGATATGAGAGAGATACATCAATTGGTTGCCTCTCGCAAGCCCCTGAGCAGGGCTGGGAGTATACAACTAAGGTACATTCCCTTAACCAGAATCAAACCCAAGACCCTCCAGTCAGCAGGCCAACACTCTATCCACTGAGCCAAACTGGCTAGGGATCAGTAAAACTCTTAACTCAAAGGTGGCTGTGAGTTTTTATCTGCCATTAGGACTGACCCTAAATATCTAAATATGCCTGTTAATCTCCACAATTCTATGTAGTCCAGACTCTACCACCTACATGGGTGCCCTCTATCAAGTTTGGATCACAACATTGCTGGCTTCTTACTCAAAGCATCACATTTTAATATGTTAATATATGCAAATACATAAAATACTCTCTAAGGCCAGACATGTGTTCCCTTGGCCTATAACAGGTCGGTGAACTCTAAAACGCAAGTACAAAGCCCCACCTTCATTTAGTTTAATCAAATGCATCCCATGCTTCCGAGGTAATAATTGATTTCATCAATTCAAAGAACCCAAATGAGAAAATCTGTCTAAATCCATTACTCATTTGAACTATGTGCCCAGGAAGAAGATTTAACTTCCTCTTGCCTTGATTCATCCATGTTAGCTCCTGAATGGCTATGATAGGCCATGGAGGATGTCTAGTCATGTTTCCTTAAAACTAGAGTTCTTCTCCCTGAACAAGAGTACCAGTCAAGCTTCTTAGCCATGCCACCTCTGAGGGAATTAGTGAAGGACCAATGTCACTCAGCCACTGCATCCTTCTACAGCTCGCCCAGGAGCAGTGTGAGAACCTAATTGGTCTATTGTGTTACCTTTCCCCTAAAACAGTGTTTCCCAAACTTCTCTCATGATGAGAATCACCTGGTGGAGTTGTTAAAATACAGATTTCTGAATCCCAACTAAGAAGTGCTAAACTAGAATTTTGGGGAACATATAGGTAAAATTGTATACTTAACTTAGTGCTCTGTCTTAGACAATATACCCTGTTTCCCCGAAAATAAGACAGTGTCTTATATTAATTTTTGCTCCCAAAGATGCGCTAGTTCTTATTTTCAGGGGATGTCTTATTTTTCCATGAAGAAGAATATCGTACACTTTTATTGTTAAATGAAAATAAAAGAAATTTATTACCTGTACATGGTACGGTAGTACGGTAGTTGTCAACACAAACCAGACAAACTGTGAATCTTACAGTATCAAGAATTTACTCATTTATTCAATGACAATCATGTCATCATCTTCTGGAACATCATCATAATAATTCAATTCCTGAATTTCCTGGTGAATTTCTTGTGACTCCATTTCTTTCAGAATCAGTGGACCAAATCTCTCATGTTTAGCCTAGGGGGGGGCCCTTATTTTCGGGGGTATGTCTTATATTTCACTCAGAAGGAAACCTATAAGTAGGTCTTATTTTCGGAGCATGTCTTTTTTTCGGGGAAACATCGTAGTTCTGAACAGCTCTGTCTTAGAGCACTAGTTAATATACAGTTTTACCTATATGTTCCCAAAAATTCTAGTTTAGCACTTCTTAGTTGGAATTCAGTATTTTAACAACTCCACCAGGTGATTCTCATTATGAGAGAAGTTTGGGAAACACTGCTCTAAAATATTAAGAATAGAGAGAGTCAAGTAAATAATGGGCATTCAGTAAAGAAAATTATTATTCTGTCTTCAGTCCACAAAGATCTTAAGAGAAAAAAAATTAAGGCAAAATTATTTATTAATAATTGAGGTTTTTCTGAAAAAAGTTCTCAATTTTAAAAATATATGTATTGTAGACCATTTAATGTTAAACATTTTGATACTGTGAACATGCAGCATAATATTAACTGCATTTATTATGTGTCTACTCCACATTTTTTTGGTAAATTTTAACACAGGTTAAATATAATGTCAGGTTAAGTATTCTAACCTTCCATATTTTTTAAAGCATCTATATATATAAAAGCCTAAGTGACCATTACAATGGGCTGACCGGCCAGTAGCTATGATGCATACTGACCACCAGGGGGCAGACACTCAATGCTGGAGATGCTGCCTGATGGTCAGTGCGCTCCCACAGCCAATTTCCTGTGGCCAGCCAACCTCCTGCAGTCCTTCCCCCTGGCCAGCCAGCCTGGATTGGCCCCGATCAGCCCCAATTAGCCAGGAGGGACCCCAGCCATGCACAAATTTGTGCACCAAGCCTCTTATTATTTCATAATTTCCAGGAGAATTACAGTGTGCTGACCCTAAAAATCGACAAATTCGGATGTAACCTTGAAACCAATTAGACTACAAACTATTGTTTCCTACTGTTGCTCTCTCCTATGACATCGCAGCTGGTTCATGAATATGTAGTGATTGACTTGCAAAAACAAAAAGTCCAGCTCAATGTTCTTACCTGGCACCCTCTTTGCCCAGTTGATCATGTGAACCAGCTCCCTGTCGGCGAGGTTGGTCAGCAAGCCCATCATCGAAGCCTCACTGAAGGGTCTGCTAGGATCGTACTCGGAATAGATTATGGGGGGCTCAGCCTCCATCAAGGCACTGACCATCTGGTCGGCTGTCAGAGATAAGGCAGGGCTGTTCTTCTTCGTGTGCTTAATCAAGAGAGGGCTTGGCCAAAGGCTGGCAGCTCTCATGTCTCCAGAGGTCCCCGCATCATTCCTGCTCTCCCCATCATCCCTTTGGCGCTTGTGTTTCAACATTCTCCCTCCTCTTCGGTCTTTCCGTAACCCTGAGAACACAGAAGTATAAACACAGCTTATTCTTTAAATCATGTGAACGAACTTTCTATGCTAATAACCCTTTATTCTATTTGAAGAAATACCTGAAGGCACAGATATGCTGGTGTTTGACAACCACTGTTCAGGAAAAAAAACTTTTAAGGCTTTGATTTGTAGCATTCACTAGTTTCCATTGTGTAAATACTCCTACCGTGACAAATTTCAAGGTACTTGTCTGACATCAAGCAGCTTACAAAACTTCTGAAAACTGAATAATTGGCTTTTGTGAACTGACAAATTGTGTGTGTGTGTGTGTGTGTAACAGATGCTATGAAAAGAACAGAATTATAGCCTTAGCTGGTTTGGCTCAGTAGATAGAATATTGGCCTGTGGATCAAAGGGTCCCAGGTTCAATTCCAGTCAAAGGCACCTACCTTGGTTGCAGGCTCCTCCCCAGCCCAGGCCATGGCTAGGGCTTGTGCAGGAGGCAACCGATAAATGTTTTTCTCAAATCAATGTTTCTCTCTGTCTTTCCCTCTCTCTTCAACTCTCCCTAAAAATCAATAGAAAAATATCCTGGAGTGAAGATTAACAAAAATAAATGTAATAAAATTATAATTAGTTATCCTTGTAATATAGCTTAGCATCAAACACTGCTTCTACTATAAATAATTTTATCTAAGAGTGATATGCAAATTAACCATCACTCCACTACACCCACAAGCCACTCCCACAAGCCAATCAGGAGTGAATATGCAAATAAACCCAACCAAGAAGGCTACGACCACAGAGAGCAGGAGGGAAGCTTAAATTTCCCCAGCAATGAAGGAAGCCAGGCTTTTCACCTGCCGTTGCTGGCCTAAGCCTCCATTCAAGGCTACAGTTTCAATTATAGAAGGTAAACAAATCCAAACAGAAATGGTGGCAGCCACAGAGCTGGAAAGAGCAGGAGGCTAGGGTTTACCTCCAGCGATGGAGGAAGCCAAGCTTTCCACATACCCTGGCCAGCCCAGGCCTCTGCTTCGGGCTACAAAGTTTCAATTATAGAAGATACATAAATCCCAACAGAAATGGCTGCCGCCATGGAGCAAGCTGAAGGCTTGGCTCCGCTCCAGGCTACAAAGTTTCAATTGTAGAAGATAAATAAACCCCAGATACCAGGGCCTCAGCTTGGGGCACTAGGAGGCGTGGCTGGCCTGCAAACCAGAACAGGCCCCTTACCCAGGCCTCCCCATGCCCCAAGGGAACCCCCCCCCCCTGATCCGGGACATCTTTCAGGGCAAACCAGCTGGCCCCCACCCTTGCACCAGGCCTCTATCCTATCTAATAAAAGAGTAATATGCAGATTGACCATCACTCCAACACACAATATGTGAGTTAAGACTGAAGAGGGACAAGCCACTTGCTCCACAGTCCTAGGCATCTGTGATTGCAGCCCAGTGAAGCTACCCACCCACAGTCTTACAAAGGATCATACAAGAATTCTATGTAAGACTATAGGCCCCCAAATTCAATAACTTAGAAGAAATGGGTAAGTTTCTAAAAATATATAACCTTCCTCGACTGAATCATGAAGAGCTTGAAAATCTAAATAGAGCAATCAATAGTGAGAAAATTGAAACAATTATCCAAAACCTCCCAAAAAATGAAAGTATAAGAGCAGCTGGCTTCACTAGTGAACTTTGCCAAACATTCATAAGTATTAAGAAAAACTTAATACTTATCTTTCTCAAATACTTCCATAAAAAACTAAAGAAGAGGCACTAATTCCTAACATATTTTATGAGGCCAACCAACATAACCCTGATACCAAAACCCGGCAGAGACCACACACACACACACACACACACACACACACACACACACGCCAGACCAATATCTCTGGGGAATACAATGCAAAAATACTAAACAAAATACTAACAGATCAAATATAGCAACACATTAAAAGATAAATATTATACATCATGATCAAGTGCATTCACTCCAGGGGTAAAAGAATGGTTCAACATACATAAATCAATCACATAAACAAAATGAAGGGTAAAACTCATATAATTATACCGACAGATGCAGCAATATACCAGTGTCATTACCAGTGACCAGATTGCACAAATATTTTATAGTCGTTCAAAGCAATCGAACTGGAATTGAGGAAGAGGTGAAAGATGGCCCAACTTCTATGTTAGCCCAGGCTCAATGAGAATGGCTGATCAGAACCTGTGATTACAGGTTGTGCCTTATAGAGATGGGACATAAAAAAATGACATGTATAATTAAAATCCAAAGATAAAATTAAAAAGTCATCATCTGTTCCCTACCAGACTTTTTCCAATATTATTTGTAGAGGAGGGACACAAATTGATATGTATTTTACTTGAGGTCACTTCCCTTTATCTAACTCACTTTACCTAACAGTGAAAAAAGAAAACTACACCAAAACACCAAACTACCAGTTCACAGGACAAAGGGAAAAAAATATTAGCTTAAACGAGGCAAACATTAAACAGGCAGCCTCTTGACAGTCAAGACATTTATTTGTAGCAAACAGCATTTTTTGGCTTATACAATGCCATATAACCAAGATGTATTGTCATTCAGGACATGAAAATGTCATTTTCCAGAAGAGTTGAGTAAACAATTCAGCAACACAACACAGCTGCCATGCAACAGATATGCTAGTTAGTGTGCACACATTATTAGTTCTCAAGTTGTGTCACTGAGTAAATACTAGCGTCAAGGCAAATTTCTTTTAAAACTTTAAGCTTATGATAATTCAAGGATCACCCACTGGTTTCTTTTGAGAGATTTAAAAAACAACAACAAGAACAATCTGTCATTCAGCAAGCCCAACCTAAGTGTGAAATGCCACCAGTTTTCCTCGTGTCCCATGCGGTAAACCTTCTCTAATATCCTTGTCACGCTGTTGCAAGGATTTGGAGAAGTTGAGGATAGAACCTCTATTTAGGACCATCTGTGTGAATCTGCATGATTCTAATCCACTGGGAAGTGTTAGATTAAGGGAATTTTATTAAACTAATAAACACAGGCAATTGGACTGAGAATGGAAGGCGCTTTCTGTAATTTAACACCAGAATTAATATATTATTATCATTTAATACCACTATTATTATATTATTCCCAATCTGTCTGGAATTTGGGAGTCATGCCAGGGACTGAGTCCTGGCAAGGATAAAGGAGATGAAGACATATCAACTGCTTAAACAATTATGTTCTGAGCCTGGAATAAGAAGATCTGTCTTACTGTGTCAAACCAGGTATTTTGAAACATAATTTTAGAGTTCATCTGATCACTCCCTTTTTTTTTTTAATTTTTTAAATTCTCTGGCTTGGTGATTGTATCTCAATAAAAAGTAATACACTAACTAAATATTCATTACTTAATAGAATTCATTGTATGATTTGCTTCTAACACCTTCTAACTTTTTAAATTTTCTTTTTTCAGGAATGATCTTTTTTTCTTCTTCATACTCTGTTCCTAGACAAAATGCTAGTACAACTTCAGTAGTTATTTTTCCACTTCCAAGACTACTTTAATGTAGTGTTAAATATTTCAAACATTTGCATAATAACCTTTGTTTTGTTTTTCAATAATTCCACATTATTCACGGGGTATTAAAAAACCAAAGCGATACACTAGAAGTCTTTAATTCAACATGTTGAAGGAAACATAAATGCTTATTAGTTAAGAATTAAATAAAAACAAAAACTAATAAAACTTGCTTGGAAATTCCCCTGCATCCGTTCCAATGTTTCCTTATCAAACACTAGTGAATCCTATAAGGCAGGAACTGTTATAGTCCCCCACTTAGCCAAGTAAAGAAATTTAGAATAACTACCAAGCCCAGGGTCACACCAAGGACAACAAAAGAAATTTAAAGGTAAAATATGTCACTATAGATTATGATTAATATTCTCATTGCCTCCAAGTGTATCAGGTCAAGAGGACTATGAATTATCCAGTTCATTTTTTTTAATGCTCTTTCCCTTCTCTTTCAATCCCAACAAATCAACACAATCTAGGATTTCTTCATGTCTATTCCTGCCACCATCCTACTTCTCACCCCTAACCCTTCTTGCCAGCATCAGTGCAACAGCCCCTAATTTGTCTCCTGGCCTACCTTAGATCTCCCTTCCAATCCAATTAACTGCCAATTAATTAATCTCCATTACACACTGTTTTATCCTGTATTGTCTAAATCCCTCCAAGACTTTCTTAACCTATAGCAGGAGTTTTTTAGCAAGGTCTGAAGATAATTAGTGCCATATGGGGATATCAGAGGTGGAGTGGTTAAGGCTGTGTTTTTATATATGTGTGTTTGTATTAGGATTAGGGAATAAGTAGAATTTACTTACTAGTAATATAAGGAAGAAGGGGTTTTTTGTTTTTGTGAGTTTTTAAAATATATTTTCTTACTAATTTCAGAGAGGAAGGGAGAGAGAAAGAGAGATAGAAGCTGCCTCGTGCACTCTCCCTCACTAGGGATCAAGGCTGCAACCCAGGCCTGTGCCCTGACTGGGAATTGAACTGAAACTCCGTGGTTCATGGGTCAATGTTCAACCACTGAGCCGCACTGACTGGGCCAGAAACAGTTTTTAATAGTCAACTCCAGCCATTCCAAGGCCACCATCGTGGCCAATCACATTATGCAAGCCCAGTCGGGGCTCTCCTTCTTCTCAGGCCCCAGAGCTAAGTTTTCATTTGCTGTGACAATGAGGACTTATCAGTGATGGAAGTGAACAGTTGCAGCAGTACAACTGAAGAAAACTTAATTAATATGCTGTCAGCCCTGCCTGGTCATGCATGTTCTATTGCAGAGCATGTACCCACATGTTCACAACAACCCAAGTCTCCATCTGCCCTGTTGAGCTGATGCTCTCTGACCAAAAAGCACTTGAAAAACACAACTACAAAATAGCATAACAATTCTTCTCCACAGTTAGCATATATTTTATAATCAGGAAAACAAGACCCATAAAAGTTACTGGTTTT